TCTCAATTAATATTAAGAGCAATTAAATAATATTGATATGTTAATAATAATTTTTATATAAAAATTAAATTTTATTTTAATTTCATGTAAAAAATGTTTTACTTAAAATTCTATTTAAAATAGTTAAAAATAAAAAGAGTAGAAACTTAAATACTTATAATTCTCTCATGAACAATAATTAAATTAAAGGCAATAATGATAGTAAACAATATAATAAACCCCTAAATATTGTGATGATAATTTATTATCTTCACAAATTTATTATCAATTAAAGTATTTTTATAATTAAACTTATTGTAACAAAGAAATAATAATTCTACCATCAAGAAAATCAATTATAACTACACGTAATAACCAATTTTATTGCATCATATGATTGTAGAAACTTGAAGGATTAAAATAGTATAAATATTTTCATTTCAATTGAAAAATTTCTATTTACAATAATTTGAGTAGAACAATACTTCTATTTAAAAGTGGGTAGAATCAATTTAAAACATAGAATAAGACTTTATTAATAAAGTAGAATTACAATAGTCTAATGATTATTAAGTTTTTATAAAATTTATAAAAGAAGAAGAAAATAATATAAAATAAACTAGTCATCATTTTAAAAGGATATTAATAATTTAATTTAAATTTTGGATTAATCAGATTTAATAAACAAATGCATATAAATCTTAAATTAGACATTTAATATAGAAACAATATTTGAATAAGATCATCAAAATGAAGATATATAGGTAAGAAAATTATTATGTATATTAGAATTTAAATTTTTTATGTGAAGATCACTAAGAAAAGATTATTCTTTTTGACTTAGGTTAGGAAAGAACAAGTTCAAAGTGGTTTGCTTGTTAAGATATTTATTCCTCCCTTCACTATAAATCAGTAAAATATGTATAAAATAAATGGATAGAAATTTCATTAAATAAATTGCAAAACATGTAGAATCATGCTAATAAATTAAAGAATAGAATTACTTTTATCTTTGAAATTTTTGGAACTTTGAAAAAAGACTTGATTAAATCCCTAGACATTGCCAATAAGAATTTATAAAATCATTATGATGAATATTAATTTAAAATGGAATCATTTAAAAAATAAATAAATAAAAAAGTAATAAAGAAGTTGAATGCTAAAGTATAATAGAAACTATAGATTAATCATTAAGTAATTCGATGATCTTAGAACTAAAATAAGATAGATTAGATTTATCAATTTATCTTGAACAAACTAAAAATTTAACTATACATTCATAACTCTATTCTTAAATTATCTAACCTAAATCTTAATAATTATATTAATAATTAAATCCGT